AAGTAACTATTCTCCTTACTGTCGATTGATTTTATAGTGATATCTGCACTACTCATCAACTCAAAAACACCAGATTATCCTTGTTAATTACACAACATTGATTGGTTTAAATTGTGTACAATGCTTTTGTATTTTTCCCCTTCGATTCGGAGAAACAAATATTTTTTCGGAGTTTAGGATGGCAGAAGACACTACACTACCCAGAATCCTCAGCTATCATTTACGACTACAGCATGTGCTTTGTTTGACAAACCCCGTGATTAGTTCTCAAGCTCTGTGATTGGATGTTGGAGTGGCAGTGCACGAAGTTTACACCGGTCAAACAGCACTTTGAAATTGAATGAACCCCCCCCCCCCCTTAGGTCACAGGCTCCTCCAACAGTGCAACACAATAAAACAAATACACAGAAAAAATAGTGCAAGTAAATACAAAAAGAAAAATAGTAAAAAGTTAAATAGTGCAATAAGAGTCTATATACAAGTGATTGGAATATGATATATTAGACAATTAAGGCTTCTTAACCGCCTTCGCCTCCGACTCAGCATTTCTATTGCATTTGAATGGTCGATCTGTATTTGTATTTGTGGCTGAGTTATTGGCTTAAATAACTCAGTTACGAAGCTGTATAACACGTCCACCAAAACGTCAACTCCATACCGTGTCTGAGGTCGGAAGGTAAACAGAAGCATACAGCGGAAGCGGAATTTTTTTTTCTTCTTCTTCTCTCGGTTTTTTGGCGAATTGCAACTTTAAGGTGCATACCGCCACCTACTGTACTCGCCGTGAAGTTGTTTGCGGCCTGCCAGTAAACCCAAAGCAGAAGAAGAAGAAGTGACGTCAGCGGCTCATTTGCCTAATCCACCCCCAGGAACTCATTTTGGTGTGAACGCGATCTGCGTTCACATCAGCGTCGGGCTCCTGATCTGCCTGTCGGTGTTCTTTTCCCCATAATGACCGCGTCGCTGCACATTATCCCTTACATAATGCATACCTGCCAACCCTACCGATTTGGGCGGTAGTCTACCGCTTTTGACATGTTTCTACCGCCTACCGATTTAGCCGGCTTTTCCTACCGAATTTCATTCTTCCCAAATTATAAAAAATTAAAATGACACTCCATAGACACTGGACTCGACTTTTAGCGGAAACCGATTGCAGCGTGTCTGTGATCCCATCCTACAAACAGTCTTCTGTGTTTCTGAAAGTGAAACAACGTGCAGAGGAAGGGCAGACCCCCGGGACTGCGGTCAAGCCAGCCTCCACTTCGGAAAACACAGTCAAGCCAGCCTGCCGCAGTCCCCCGGGACTGATAATAACCAGTCATCACTCCCAAAAGAGTTTAGGGGAACAGAGACGAGGCATTTGAGTCCTGCAGGGTTTCCCCGTTAATATCAGTGTCTCGAAAACACATGTTGGCGACTGAAAGACATCCAGTGTTTGGTCTTTTCCGGAAGCATCCGACAGTGTCTCAACTGAAAGAGGACCACAAACACAAAAAAAATATTATACAATTTTGAGATTTTGGGATATTTATCTCCCATTCTTTCACTTTTTCGGACATTTTCAACACCAAACATGTCGTTAATGTCTCTGCTTAGTGAACTACAGCAATCTGAAAGCTTGTACATTATTTATATCACACTGCAAAAACATGCAGGAAATGACTTTTTTAATGCAGTATTTTCTGATTTATGGCGCAACACAAAGATATATCGCTCTGTGCAAACCTTTGACTAATATGTCAACAACATGAAACAAGAATATGAACCTGGCTTTATCCAATGTTCACACAAGAGTTCTACATTCTGACACATCCTTCATCTACACTGTCTCAACTGAAAGAGGACCAGAAACACACAAAATATAATAAAATGTGGAGACTTTGGGATATTTATCTCCCATTCTTTTACTTTTGGACATTTTACAGACCAAACATGTCGTTGATGTCACTGTTTACCAAACTACCACTTTTTCTGAAAAATGCATAAAATGATGTAATATATATTAAATACATGGTTTCTACATGTAATTACTGGGGTTCCATTTCTTCTGATTACTGTTGGAGCAGAACACCTATTGTGGTGGCTGATAGCCACCCCCTCTGCTACGCGCCGTTCGTTGGATGAGGCTGAATCTCTATTAAATAAAGAAAGGAATTGAAAACACCGGAATCAAAAGTTATAACAATTATCTGAGTTTACTCTGGTAGGAAACCAAACACATATACAAGTTGTACAGAGTACTCCGGACTTCAGGCTTGTGATGCGGTTTTACAGGTAGACAGACCAGCTTTCAGAAAACGAGAAGTATGGACTCCAGGTTTGTGATGCGGTTTACCGTCTTCTAGCACCAGCTTTCAACAGACCAGAAGCATTTTACATACAAAAACAACAGTATTCATAATCATATTTTGGGGCGGAGATGTGTTAACTTTTTCCTGCTAGCTGTGTGAGCTGCTCACATCCCCCAGGTGTTTTTACTGGTTAGATTCATTTCTGGTCGGGTTCAATACAGCGAATCAGAGTTCTGACCAGAACGTGAGATTCTAAAGTTTCACAAGGTCAAAGTCAATCTTATCTCTGCCCCGATATTCACTCCCTTACTTTCCCATGGGAGTTTTTCACATAAACTATTCTTTCTCATACAATTAAACCTTTGTGCACAAATATAATGATGTCCATAAGGACCTTGAAAAAGAACATGTGTGTGCGCTGGTGAAAAGGAGGTGTGGGTGAAACAGGATCTCTGGGTCAGTGAGAATATCATTTCTATATATGTGATTACTTAAAACAGTTCAAACAATACATGTTCACTAAAATACAATTCAAAATAATACATGTTCACTTCAATACAGTGTAGAATCATATCTTTTTACTTCATTACCTAGTTTGGGCATGCACATTTGCCGCGCGCAAACCTACCTCTTTTGGATTTGGAAAGGTTGGCATGTTGAACTTTGCTGTCGGCTCCCAGACCGTAGTCGAGGAAACAGGGGGGATGACTCTCTGTCGTCTCCCAGGGCAGAAGCAACACGCTTCGGGTTCAATAACCCACTTTATCGAAATGACTGGAGAGAGGCGAGCTCTTCTTGGGAGGTCGTTGCATTTATTTAGTTCTTCTGTTTCACAAGATACATCACAGACCTATCCTTTTTCTGCTGCCTCGTTTCACTTCTAGAAAACATATACCCCGCTCGCTCACTCTCGCTCTACCATACCCACACACACATGCACGCCCACACCCCTCTCTTAAAGGGATCGCGATCTCACTCTGCATGACCCTAATGTCATAACATATGTAACAGTCACTTCAATATTTGAGAATGTACATTAGTGCAATATTGTACATAGAATGTGCAAAATATTATTGCCAGATTGTCCAAAGCAGCGTAAAAAGTGTCTGGTGCTGGATTTGAGTGTCTGAGTGTGTGTGGGGAGTTATAGTCCAGTGGGGAGGGAGGGGAGGGAGTTCATCCTCCTGACAGCCTGGTGGAAAAAACTGTTCTTTAGTCTGGTGGTGCTCGACCTCAGGCTGTGGAACCTTCTCCCTGAAGGCAGGAGGGTGAAGAGGCAGGTGGAGGGATGGGTGGGGTCACTCACAATGCTGAGTGCTCTGCGGGTGAGGCGGGTTTTGTAGAGGTCCAGGAGTGATGGGAGTGAGGCACCGATGATCCTCTCAGCAGTGTTCACAATGCGCTGCAGGGTCTTGCGGTCGGATGCTGTGCAGCTTCCAAACCACCGCGTGATGCAGCTGCTGAGGATGCTCTCGATGACGCCTCTGTAGAAGGAGAGCATGATGGGGGGGAAGCTCCTGCTCTCTTCAGTTTGCGGATGAAGTCGAGGCGCTGCTGGGCTTTCTTGGTGATTGACGTGGTGTTGGTACTCCAGGAGAGGTCCTCAGTGATGTGCACCCCCAGGAATTTGGTGCAGCTCACCTGCTCCACTGCAGTACCACCAATGGTCAGTGGGTGGGGGTGTTGGGTGTCGTTTCTCCTGAAGTCACCGACAATCTCCTTTGTTTTCTCCACATTGAGAAAGAGATTGTTGTCTCTGCTCCACGTGGCCAGCTGGTTCACCTCCCTCCTGTAGTGGGTTTCGTCGTTGTTGCTGATGAGACCCACCACGGTTGTGTCATCTGCAAACTTGATGAAGTGGTTGGAGCTGTGGGTGGGTGTGCAGTCGTGGGTCAGCAGGGTGAAGAGCAGGGGGCTGAGCACACGTCCTTGGGGGGAACCTGTACTCAGTGTGATGGTGCCTGATGTGCTGTTGCCGACCCGTACAGATTAGGGTCTGGCAGTGAGGAAGTCCAGCAGCCAGTTGCAGAGAAAGGGGCTGAGGCCCAGGTTTGTTAGTTTACAAACCAGCTGCTGGGGGATGATGGTGTTGAACGCTGAGCTAAAGTCTATGAACAGCATCCTAACATAAGAGTGTTTAGTGTCCAGGTGGGTGAGGGCTGGGTGGAGAGCAGAGGAGATGGCATCCTCAGTGGACCACTTCGCTCGATAGATGTTCCTCCACATGTTGAGGTTCCAGTCGTGGCAGGCCTCCTGGCAGCCGTACGAGACCGGAGAGTGGCTGCTGTTTGGCAGAGGAGATTTGTCACATTTTTCATGGGCGCAACCCACATACTCAGCTCTGCTGCTCATCCCACAAATGCATGTTCCTCACAAATGTGGCCCCATTTGAAAGGTAAGAAAACAGGCTTGCCAAGAAGCATTGATACAATTAAGATATAATCAACCAAACACACATTTCCTTACTTTTTGTGTTAAGTTTATAGAGAAAAGAGAGGCCATGCAATTTAGTCCGGCTGTTGACATCAACTAAAACTGTTTTAATAAAATCACAGATCATAAAGAAACAAAGACATGATTATAAATATATGTGAATTTATAATTCACATATATTTATGTGAATTACTGCGCTGTCATTTTCTGCTCCTCACATCTGCTTCCCCCCCAGTCCCATTTATTCTTAAAGATCAATAAATGGATGCTGCATTGATGAGTCAATTTGTTTTATTTAACAGATGTCAAACTAAAACTGTAAGTAAAAATACTTAAATAGCCAAGGAAGCATTTTCAATCCCCGACATGGGGGGGTGCCATGCAGGGAGTTTGGGTTGAGGGTTAGGGTTAGAAAAAGGGTCCACATGCCCATTAAAGATCCCCCCATTCTGACTGTATCTGAATAACATCATTGTGAAAAGTCCTCATCTATAAATATATATCAAAAACATTACATTGCATAAACGTACAATCAGTACTTTTTCACATTTCATTAACTTTAATCATGATTGCTGTAAACAGCAGACAAAAACGATTCAGTTTGTGTTTTCAACACCTGTGTATGAATTATATAATAAAAAATGTTAAAATAGCACCTTTAACAAACAACAACAGTTTAAAAAGTGGTGAATAAAAAAAGGTAAAAATACTCCTACTAATTGATCCGGGGCCTGGAGGCATTCTGTCCCCGTGGGTCGGGGGGGGGGTGGGGGGGGGCGTAATCATGATGCAACTGTAAACTGCTTATCAAAGTCACAGTGATCAAAGAATCTCCACAGCAGCTTCCTGCTGACCATGTACTCGTCAAAGTACTTCCTGATGTCCAGGCTCCAGAGGAACATGTATCACAGAGGCTTCTGGAATCTTTTCACAGGTGAGAGTCCGTGTAGAGCAGCAGAGTGAGGCCCTCTCTGCCTCTGATGTCCTCCTCCAGAGCTCAGTGCTGATCTGGGGTCAGCAGAACTAAAATTGTCCCGAGAGCTCGGAACACTCAGTCATACTCCGCAGGCTCTTCCAAATATACCACGTTCTCCTGAAGACAAAGAAAAAGGGTGGTTGATGAGTAACAAAGGAGGAAAATAGCTCAAAATGAATTTACAACATCAAGAGTCTACATTTCACATATGCCGTCTGTGAGGCCCCGACCCAGCAGGCTGTGCAGAAAGCTTTGAGCGTGTTTAGTCCAAATGTACGTTGTATGTTCTCTAACCCCGATTAAAACCAGGCATCTAAAAGGGTCTGATTCTAATGTGACTAATTTACCGACCAACACAAGCGGATGGTGTATTTTATCATTAATGAAGATTGTTAAGACTAACGGCCAACCTATAAATAACCAACATTTTTTTTTACCCCCTTGTATATGTATCGGCCAAAACTATCCAATAATTGTCTTCTCTAGTAAATGCAATGCATTATATACATGAATGGATCAATTCCATACCACAGATGTAATTCATTTCTATCGAGAAGTTGAATATGTTAAATCACTCACCCATCCTCCGTGGCTCTTCACCCAGGGGGCGAAGGTCTCCATGTAGCTCTCAGCGTAGCCTTGCATGCGCTGGGTTCCTGTGGCTGTCACTATCCTGCGTGACACCTCCATGGTGACGGCCATGCGTCTGAGCGTGGGACTGGCTGCTGGCTGAAGGGCGGGGGGGTCCGACACCTCACTGCCACTGAACGTGTCGAGAAGCTTGGCAAAGGAAGCGTAGGAGAGACGAGCCAAGCTGGAGCGCAGGAAGGGGTCCGTCTGGATCTAGAGGAAGATATGTGTAGGGCCAGTTTACGGTTTAGGTTAACTATAGCAGCTGATGGTTCTATTCTAGTCTACTTTCAACACAAAATATGCCAGTATTTGACAGATGGATAATAACCTTTACACACCTTATGATGAAACACAGCCTACCTTATTGTTGATCGAATCTCCCTCTAAAGATAGAACCTGAGCCAGCTGCTGCACCACGACATCTTTGTCCCACACTGCTGAACGAACAGAAGAAAATCAAGTTTCCATCAAAGTGTTCTGAGGCTTGTTTGGGTCTTTACTTCAGCTGGATTCAGACAGGAACATACACTTATCGGTCTTAGCAACAGGTACCAGAGAGAAGATGAAATAGAAAGCAGGTAGTCCAGTTTGGGTAGTAGATGCATGAGTTCATCGTGTTCCTAAAGTAGTCATTTAGTAAATTAAAGGTCTCCTATTATACTATTTTTAGGCATATATTATAGGTCTCAGATATATATAAAACATGTCTCTGAAGTGTTTTGCTCGAAATACCAAACAGATCACCCATTGTAGCATGCCTCATATCCCTCTATTTCAGCCCTATTACTAAAGTGCTGATTCTGGGTCTGGCCCTTTAAATGTAACCGAGCTGCTGCTGGCCACGCCTCTTCTTTGGAGCTGCTGCTGGTCACGCCCCTTTGGTGCTGCTGCTGGCCACTCCCCTTTGGAGCGTCCGTCCGCATGCAAGCAGTGAGCTCTGTGAAGAGAAGGCTGTCTACCAGCAGAAACTGAGCTAAACACTGCCGTGATTAAACGCCATATTATGTTCCAAACCACATCAAGCATTATTTCTGAAACAGTATGGAGCTCAAACGCTTTCTCTCTCGCGGGTTTACTACAAGGTGAGTACCTTTTTGCTTCTTTACACATACTCTCTCCAGTACAGCGTTAGCTCTGAGTGTTAGCGATGCTTGCTTATGTAAACACAGACCATATTACTTCCAAAACACGTCGCGCATTGTTTCTGATACAGCAACGTTTCTGATAGGGGGTTGGAACGTGGACAAGAGTTCAACATAAAGTCAAACATTTTAGTAATGTCGTCATGACCGCAGCAAATCTGGATCAGCTCCGTTGTACCCCCGTTTTTAGAGATGTGGGTAAGGAGGATTTTATTTTCTGACACTTTGTGAGTCTCCTTACACACCGGGGACACATATTTATGTATAAAAGACATCAAAAGGTGACCTTTAATGCTTAATAGCTTGGTGGTAGGGGGCTTTCGTCTAAATACTATTGTGTGTGTGTGTGTGTGTGTGCGTGCGTGCGTGCGTGCGTGCGTGCGTGTGTGTGTGTGTGTGTGTGTGTGTGTTTACCTGTTGGGGGCGGGACTGTGGGACTCACAGTCTTTTTACAGGTGCTCCTCCGGGCAATCTTCTCCAGCTTCTCTGCTACTTCATCATAGAACTCAGGAGGGTGGTCTGCAGTGACATACACCACAACTCCATCAAACATTAAATCAATTGTCACCACTCTACTTCTGTCACTTCATAAACATAATGTGTGCATGTTCACACAACAACACAGGTTACAACCCGGTGCAATCAGACACAATTTAGTTTTGAATGGAGTAAAACCAGGAAATTAGTCAGTATTTTCCACTTCCTGTTCCCTTGTCTTGAAGTGGACGTTTTGAATGTGTTTTTGGTTCAACAAAGTGGTTGCTGACAAGTGACTAAAGGAGACTACTAAACGCCTTCCCGCTGACATTGGCCTCCTTTACATTACATCACATGACATGTTACTTGTTAGATGCTTTTATCCAAAGCGACTTACATACTCAATACTGTGGGCAATCCCCACAGGAGCAATTTGGGGTGAAGTGTCTCAGGGACACAACGACATGCTGACTGCAGTGGGGTTTGAACCTGTGCTCCCCTGTTCCCAACACCAACGCACTAACCCACTACGCCACACGCCTCCCCCTTTAGCTTAGCAGAGGTGACGTGCAGCCATGTGACCGCGGTAGATTCTTATTTTCTGCAATAATCCAGAATCCAATGGGAGGAGCCCTGGTGATGCTAACCTTTGGGTCTGCCCTATAAATACAACACCAATGCACCGCTCAATAGAGTTCGGTCAACCACATCAAACACCCTACAATAACAGCAGGGTGGTGTGGAGAAAACTGTTGTAAAGGGCCCATTCTAAGCGATGAAATTGAAAATGAAAGATGTCGACATATACATTTAAACTGTAGGCTTTGCAGCAAATCAATAATCTGGTTTGAGTCGTTTTATTGTGTAATGGAGGATCTTACTGGGAGAGATGAGGGCCAGGGAGGGTTCAAGCTGTTTGTCGATTGGCAGCGTTGAAGGTCTCAGAGGACGAGCTCCATCTCTGTCCCTCTCTTTGTTCTTCTCTTTGTCCCTCTCTCTGTCCTTCTCTTTGTTCCTCTCTCTGTCCTTCTCTTTGTCCCTCTCTCTGTCCTTCTCTTTGTCCCTCTCTCTGTCCTTCTCTTTGTCCCTCTCTCTGTCCTTCTCTTTTTCTTTTTCTATCCTTTTCTTGAAGAAACTGGAGATCTTTCTTTTAATCTTCTTCTGGTTCAACTTCTTCGGCTGTCTCTTCTCGCCGTCATCTTCTTCTGATGTAGAGGAGGGGGATATGACATCATCCTGTGGGAACAGGTTTTTCTGCTCAACATTAAAAATGTGATGGTTTTGATGTTAGTATATAATAATGTAATATTCTTTACAATTTAGTGGTATATTCGTATTCAATTTATAAAGTCATTTATAGGTAGCATGTTTAATACTTCTTATGTAATTCATCCTATGTCCATTATGCACTTTTTATAAACCGCTTTTTTCCAAATACCAGAGGTAGTCACAAATGTATCCCTCCGTTAACATTTCAAACTCCCTGTCATCTCTATCCGGACAGTGTGTTTACCCTCTCCCTGTTACTACTGCATTAGTACATTACATTTAGCAAATGGTTAAAATAATCTCTCCACATTTATCTGGACAGACAGTCTCTTTACTATCATATTTATATCGCTCGAGAAATATAAACTCAAGTATGTATTTGATAGACTAATTTAGACATTTAAGACAGAAAAGAGAATGAGGCATAAAAACAATACTTTGAAAGAAATGTGAGTTGCTATGTGAACCCTTTTAAACATAGGTTACACTGAATGTGAAGGCACCATCTACACTCTCTGACTCACAACACACAACACCAGTTTGCTTTGGCTCACCAGTTCCATTTCATGGTTTGTATTTTTTTATTCTCACATACATGTAAGGTCTATGTTATATCTAATAATCTTGATGAGGAGGTCAGGCAGCGACTGGCTCAGAAGGCAACTAATCAGAATCCTTATATGAGTTTTCCTCCAGCAACACCAACTGCAAACATCATCCATCTGTCTGAAGACCGAGGGATCTCTCTCTCAGATTGAAATCAACAGTCAGATGTGACTTGTGTGTATATGCGGTGTAGTGTGAAGTAAAAATAACTCCTGCTCACGTCTGTCAGGTCTCTGACGGCCTTGGACCTGCTGTCCCGGTCCAGGGAGCCTTTAGGTTCTTTGGCGGGCCGGCGTATGGTGTTATTTAGAGGCAGCTGCTTTATGAAGTCCTTGAATCCAGTCTTCTTCTCATCTGCTGAAGTGACATCTTGATAATCTCCCCCATCCTTTACTTTTTGTAGTGGTTTGGAGCTAGTATGAAAAGCATCTGTATGGTTAACAACAGGAGGGATATCTCATCACTTAACACCATTTGAAATAAAGGAAATACAACAGTATCCTTAAAATAGTAAATCATGATAACTTAATAATGACTTCTAAATATATGTTCACATAAGTGGAATACATTCCTAGCTCAACTGGAATGACATTGTATTATCACCACGCCTGTGGTTAGGGCTTTTTACGTTCACAGCCTATAAACTTAAAGTCAGTACTTCAACTTTTACCAGAGTACTTTTCAACACGAGTATCTCTACTTCTCATTGAGTGAACCATCTCTGTTAATAAAACAACATGTTTCTGAGAGCCGAGCATTATTGACATCAGTATCCTGTCTGAGGCTGTCCTGAACAGTGACACACAGAAACAGATCCAGCAAAGCCTGCAGAGAGGTTTGTCACCTGTACTTGCTGTGGTCTCTGTAGAGCCCTCCTACTGTGCCAGGCCTCTCCTTCAGGGGCATGGAGAGGGTCCGATGGAGAAAAGCCTGCAGGACCAGATGAGTCTCCGCCTTAATCTCCACCAGAGAGATGGAAGAGATGGAGGAGACAGAGGAGTTGCGGCCTGCAGACTCTGACATCTCTAACAAAAGGAGAAACAGCATTTCACTTGTTATTAAAGTGAGAACCTTTGTCAGAACATAAATAGTTAGGTGGTCTGTTGTATTATTATTGGTTTTGCAGGCATTGTAGAGATCAAGAACACAGCAAGTCATGTTATGAGTCCATACTGACATTACAGTCAGGGTTGTGTACCAAATAGGTTTTAGAACACTTGAATTAATTAAACTTAGTTGTACAGTGTGTTTTGGCAAGTATTCTTATCAGGAAAAAACTAAGATAATTTGGATCTAGCCCCACCAGGAGGTTCACATAAGGCACTTTCACACCGGAGTACTTTTCCCAGGACTGGTTCCGATAGTTCCTGGGATTTTGCGTTCACAGCAAAAAGATCTGGAACTATAACTTTTTTTCGGGAACCTTTTCACCCCTTTTCAGTCCCTGCTAGAGAGGTGGGACTTTCCTGGGGAGAAAAAGGTTCTCATTTCTGATTGGCTGGGCGAATTGCAAACCACGCCCCGTAAAACTCTGAAAAGTTTTGTGAAGCCGCCATTCTATTTGCTGGCATTAGCATTATTAGCATTAGCATTAGCCCCGCGCACCAACGGAGAGAGACTAACTTATGGCATCACAACAAAAAACATGGGAGCGGTGGAGTGATGAGGAGGTGTCGGTATTCTGGCGCTCGGAGGCAAGCCAGTCCCCAACTCCGGGGACTTCCGGCCGGGGACTTCCGGGCTGTATCTCATTTTGAGATAAATATAATTCAATGACCTGGAACGAAAACAGCCGGAACTGTTGGGGCTTTGTAGTTAATTAATTAACAACAGATAATCATAAATTATGTTTTTTTGCAGAAATGTGTCAAATAATAAACCATTACAGGAAATAACCCAGTTGAAGAAATCATTGATCTTCATCAACTACCCGCCTAGACTAAGTGAAAGCAAAACAAAGGAGCAGACCGCACCATCCAGTCAGTCCACATTCCCTGTCGCTGTGTCAGTGAAACGATCACCATGTAATACATTCATGGTTTATTTGAAATGTTGATGTGTCTCTACACACATGTAAAGAGACACAAATCTGATTGCAGTTGCTATTTTAATGTTTAATTAAAGATAAGTTCATATTGAAGAGGCTGAATAGTTGTAGCCTTGAACTGTAGCAGCATGGATCAATAGAGATCTTACTAACAGAAACTTTAGTATATCAATTATCGTTATTTTTATTTAAGAGCAGAGCCATTAGCTTCGTTTTTTACTTGTTCTTATTATTTGCCATCCATTTTGAATCATGCCAGCTATGCAATGCACAAAGATGAGTGCCAAACACCTGGAGAACTACAAGGCAAGGCAAGGCAAGTTTATTTATATAGCACCTTTCAACTCAAGGCAATTCAAAGTGCTTTACAAAAATGAAAGACATTAAGAGCATTAAGAAATAGTGCAACGCATCATATTATAAAATGGCATTTAAAAACAGTAATTCAAAAGCAAAGATAACAAAATAAACATAAAACATAAATAACACAAGTATAAAATACATGAATAAAACGTACAGTGCAGTGCAGTCCTGCACGGGTCTGATTTTCAAGACCCGCTCCCGCCCCGCGACGTGCAATACCGAACCCGCCCCCCGCACATATTGATAATTAGTTCCGCAAACCGACCCGACCCGTTGGCACAAGATCCGCAAACCGACCCGAACCCGCATATCCTATGAGCAGTGAAAACATGCAATTATTAACACACGCAGTTGTGTATTTGGCTCAAAAAGCGTGGGATGTTAGTTATTTTCTCCATCTAGGATGTCACCAATAGCCTCCCAGACATTGGATTTCGCTCTTGAGGAAGAGTTATTGACAATGCTGTATCCTCCACTAGAGAGCTTCACCTCAGCCATTTCGAATGTGGCGCGCTCAGCAGCAGTTTGCAGAGGTTAGGATTATGCGCGGTCCTGCGGGGGAGAGGTTTGAGGATTTAAACATTAAATTAAATTATTATTATTTTAATATATTTATTATGCAACAACCGCGACCCGACCCGCATCTTCTTTTGGTTTACCCAGAACCGAACCCAATTTTTATTTTATTTTTTAAATACCACCCGCGAATCACTTTTTTTGCGTGTCACCCGTCGGGTACCCGACCCGATGCAGGACTCTGGTGCAGTGTGAGACATGAATAGTTCAATTAAAAGCAGCGGCAAAAATAAATGTCTTCAGCCTGGATTTAAAAGTATTAAGAGTCACAGCGGACCTGCAGGTTTCTGGTAGTTTGTTCCAGATATTTGGAGCATAATAACTGTCTGAACTTCTCCATGTTTAGCTCAGCGCTGACTTTTATTTGTTAGTCCTTGGCTCCAAAAAACAATTACCTCAGTTTTATATTTGTTAAATTGAAGAAAGTTCTGACGTATCCAGTCATTGATTTGTTCAATGCACTTACTCAGTGTTTGAGTTAGAGCATAGTCTGCTGGTGAAATGGTTATGTAAATGTGTGTGTCATCTGCATAGCTATGATAACTTATTTAGTTGTTTTTCATTATCTGAGCCAGGGGTAGCATGTAGATGTTAAAGAGAAGAGGCCCCAAGATGGAGCCTTGAGGAACCCCACATGTCATATTTGTAAACTCAGATGTGTAGTGACCTATAGAAACAAAGTTTATCCTGTCCTTCAAGCAGGATTCAAACCAATTTAGAACTGTTGCCGAAAGTCCCACCCAGTTTTCCAGTCGGTCTAGTAATATGTTGTGGTCAACAGTGTCAAATGCAGCACTAAGATCTAATAATACTAACCCTGAGATTCTGCCACTGTCTGTGTTTAAGTGGATGTCATTGAAGACCTTAACAAGAGCAGTCTCAGTGCTGTGGTTTGGTCGAAAGCCAGACTGGAACACATCAAAACAGTTATTTAAATGCTTAAATGATTTTACCTAGAAATGGGAGGTTTGATATGGGCCTGTAATTGTTCATTACTAGATTATTATTTTTTAAGAGCGGTTTAATGACTGCAGTTTTCAGGGCCTGGGGGAAAAACACCTGAGTGAAGAGACTTGTTTACTATGTGAAGTAGATCTGAGGTCATGCAATGAACAATATTTTTGAAAAAGCCTGTTGGAATAATATCAAGGCAGCAGGAGGAGGATTTCAGATGTTGTATAATGTCCTCCAGGTTTTTATCATTAATTAAATGGAATTGTGTCATGGTGTTTGAATCGATCTTATAGGTCGCCTATCATGCTATTTTTAGGCAATAGCATAGGTCTCAGATATATAACAAATCACCCATTCTAGTCATGCCTCATACCCCTCCGTTTCAGCCCTGTTACTAAAGTGCTGATTCGGGGTATAAAGCTTTAAAAAATAATTGAAAAAGAAAAGAAAAAGAGGGGGCGGAGCTTATGCCTGCTCATGCAGGACCCGGAAGATACTGTCTAAATGCGTTGATGAAACGCCATATCATGTTCAAAACCACATCAAGCATTATTTCTGAAACAGTATGGAGCTCAAATGCTTTTTCTCTTGCGGGTTTACCACAAAGTGAGTACCTTTTTATATCCTGCTTCTTACATATTTTCTTCTATATGTTAGCGATACTTGCTAATGTAAACAAAGACCATATTACGTCCAAAACACGTCGGGAATTGTTTCTGATAGCGACGTTTCTGATAGGGCCGTGGGTCCACCATCCGATATGATGTAATTTACATCATATCGGATGGCAAATCTGGATCAGCTCCGTTTTACCCCCTTTTTAGAGATTTGCGCACAGAGGAAAAGAGAGAGGGTTTTATTTTCTGACACTTTGTGAGTTCCCTGACACACCGGGGACACATATTTATGTATAAAAGACATTAAAAAGTGCATTTTGCACCCTTTAAGGGTACAAAAGGTGTTGAATAGGGAAATGAACTTCCTAAAAGAATTAGTAACTGTGAACAAATAAATTCTTAGTGGGTAAAAAAGGGTACTGTTATTAGCACAATGACATGGAACAGGCCAGCTTATCTGGTTGTGACAAAAATGGACAGAAGCATGGCGAGTGGCCATCAGCCGCCATAAGACACCGTAGGAAATGTAACAACACATTCACACAATAGAAATGACTGTTCACTATAATATGGTCCAAAACACCAGGAAGTAGAGTAAGCTCTGACTTTAATTTAAACTAAATATCATCAGAACACACACCTAATAGAAACCTGAACTTCTTCTCAGACATTATTGTTCAGAAGAAGCTGTGGCTCAGGCGGAGGAGCAAAATGTCCACTCATCTGAAGATCGGTAGTTTGATCCCTGTCTCCTACAGACTGCATTTCAAAGAGACTAAAGTACTGAAACTCAAATTACTACGCAGTAGTAGCAACCTGTCACCCTGTATGGCAGCCTGTGGCATCCGTGTATGACTGTGTGTGTGTCAATGGGTAAGTGTTGCTGGACCAAGGATACAGAGAAGAGTTGATTATTGAGATGGGTGGTAACCAAATATGGTAATAGCCTGTTCTACTCCTGAAGAGTATTATTAAAACTTAATAATCCTGCTGTTTTTAGGGAGGTGGGCTGATATAATATCAGGCATGTGTTGTAAGTGGTATCACTAAGTCTTACGCTGTATATTGAGGTGTGATATTACATGTTTATGTTTTTGACGGGCTGTCAGGGGAGGGAGAGAGGGAGAGAGGGAGAGAGGAAAAGAGAGCGCTTCCGCTCATTTCTCCCGTGTTCTTGAATAATGTACTTCATTTGAATGTAATAATTATGTTGGTTGTTGTTTGTGGAAGCGCATCATGTATTGAAAAATGAATCTGAACTTTTTGATCCGTTACGATTATAAACTGAAGCAATATAAAAATGAGCCCCATTAACTGAGTTTTAATGGAAGAGATTGTGGGAGATAAGGTGAAAGGTTAGAATACTGATGAGCTGTTCCGTGGTGTAAAGTTACTAAGTACATTTACCCAAGTACTGTTCTTAAGTACAATGTTGAGGTAGGCCTACTAGAACTTTACTTGAGTATTTACATGTTTTGCTACTTTGTACCTCTACTCCACTACAATTCAGAGGTAAATTGTGTACTTTTACTCCTCTACATGTATTGAATACCTTTAGTTACTTTACAGATCTGGATTAATTATGTGAAATATAATCAAGTGTCAAATCAGACTTTAGTTCCACCTGGAGTAAATTCACAAGCTACCCTGCAGTATACAAAGTCATTCAAACTAGCTGCACCTTTACCAGCTTTGATAACACTTTAATGAACAATCATTATAAAACATATCATATATATTATTCTGAAATGGAACAATCTGCACAATGACTACTTTTACTTCTGGTACTTTAACTATAGCCTATGATGTCGATGCTAACACTGTTGTACTTGAGTAACATTTTGAATGTAGGACTTTTACTTGAAACAGAGTATTCCTACACTCTGGTACTTCTACTTTTACTTAGGTAGAAGATCTGAGTACTGTTCCCACCTCTAAGAACTGTAGGAGTACAAGTAGTTACTTCACACCACTGTAGGAAGTTCGGGAGCGGGACGCCGGCCGGGACAGCAGCGAGGACACTACAGGAAATACTTCATGTTAAAAGTTAAAGCCCGGCAGACCTGTACAAGTACACAGCTTTACCACAGAACTCTTACACTGATATCACTGAGAGGCTCAGTGCGCTCACAGTACTGAACTTCGAGCTAACGAAGCTACAAGGACTGTCCGGAGTCTCTGGAGGACAAAGTGTCTCTCGGAGTGAGTGACCCGCTCACAGGAACAACTGTAACCTGTCGATGTGACAGGGACAGCAGATACATTAACATTAACGTGTGTTCGTACCTCTGTTTCAGTGTTTCGGCGAGTTTCGGTTAAATGTATGCTGTCCTCTCTCCTGTGTTTGTGTGTGTGTGCGTTTGTGTGTGTGTGTGTGTGTGTGTGTTTGTGTCGTCAGGGGGAGGAGCCTAGAAAGGGCGGAGCTATGGTTGGAATTTCAGTCTGAAGTTTGTCATGCATCGTAGAAACGGATTTCCCCCCTGATATACACACACATATTATGTGTGGTGTTACTGTCTCCAGAATAAATACATTTCAGCAGGAATATTAAGAGGACAGAGTACCACATGAGAAAAAAAATGTTGGGATGTGACAAAAACAATCTTACATCTCACTCATTCTGATTTTTATCTCGGAATTCTGAGATTAAAGACAGATTTAAAATTAAAGTCAGAATTATGAGATTAAAATTAGAACTCGTTTTTTTTCTCAGTTTTGGTCACATCCCAAATTGTTTTTTTTAAGGGACCTTCCGTAGATTACTGTTCAATTGGCCGCGTTTATCATAGCATGAGCCTCAAGGTGTTTTTTCTTTCCTCCGATGTCTTAGTTTGTTTTCCAAATGCAAAGGTTACAGTGTGTGTGTGTGTGTGTGTGTGTGTGTGTGTGTGTGTGTGTGTGTGTGTGTGTGTGTGTGTGTGTGTGTGTGTGTGTGTGTGTGTGTGTGTGTGGATGCGGCAGACAGACAGGTCTCAGTTGGTTTGGTTTCCTATGCTTACTTTTAATACTTGTAAATAAAACCTTGTGTATATGCCTGTTATTGTCTCATTATACCGCACTGTCAATGAATTAAAGTAAATATATAAGTCATCATGAACACATCTGTCCATCAGACAGAGTGCTGCTGTGCCTCCTGTCATCATTAACGGATGTCTCTTTAAAATGACCGCTCAGAGGAGAGGAGTTCTCATTTCTCTAAACGCCTGCTGCTTCCACTCCTCTCTCCTCGGTTCCCCTCCTCGCCTCCTCCGCTCGCATCTCCTGTGGGCGGGACTAAGACACGAGGATAGGAGTCGAGGAGTCGAGGAGGGGAAATTAGAGAAAGGAGATACCTTCTTTGTCTTTGAGTTACCGTGGTCGTTGGGGGAGTGTCCTTTTCTATTCTGTTTAATCTCAATTACCCCTTGGTTTCTATTTGATATGGCCAAGCCACTATATATATGTCTTGTTTTGTCATTTTAGCAGTTCAGTATGTTGCATTAACACCTGTTAAAGGTGGGGTAGGTAATTCACTTCAGAAACACTTGTTATATTCCATGGAATGCTCTTAACATCCCGATAGCAATTAATACATTAAATGCTTTGACAATAAATACATAAAACAATGTCATCTGTGGAAGCCGTGGCGCTGTAAAAAGCACGACCAATTATTTTAGCCGGCCCGGCTTACTTTTGAATACTTCAGTACAAAGGATGTATTGAATAATTTAAGTGATATACAGTGCATCCAGAAAGTATTCATACCCCTTAACTTTTTTCACATTGTGTTATGTTACAGCCTTATTTCAAAATGGATTACATTTTTTTTCTCTCAACATTCCACACACAACGTTTTAAAATAATTTTTCGCAAATGTGTTACAAATAATCAAATGAAATATCACATGTACATAAGTATTCACACCCTTTGCTTTGACACTGACAATTGAGCTCAAGTGCATCCCGTATCCACTGATCATCCTTGAGATGTTTCTATAACTTGACTGGAGTCCCCCTGTGGTCAATTAAATAGATTGGACATGACTTGGAAAGGAACACACCTGTCTATATAAGGTCCCACAGTTGACAGTGCACATCAGAGCACAAACCAAGTCATGAGGTCCAGGGAATTGTCTGTAGACCTCAGAGACAGGATTGTATCAAGGCACAGATCTGGGGAAGGGTACAGAAAAATGTCTGCAGCATTGAACGTCCCAACAAGCACAGTGGTCTCCATCATTTGCAAATGGAAGATGTTTGAAACCACCAGGGCTCTTCCTAGAGCTTGACGCCCAAACCAAACTGAGCAATGGGGGAGAAGGGCCTTAGTCAGAGAGATGACCAAGAACCCGATGGTCACTCTGACAGAGCTCTAGTGTTCGTCTGTGGAGATGGGAGAACCTTCTAGAAGGACAACCATCTGTGCATCACTCCACCAATCAGGCCTTTATGGCTAGAAGGAAGCCACTCCTCAGCAAAAGGCACATGAAAGCCCACATATTAACCCCGCCCCCTTAAAAAAAACGGCTCTTTTGAACGGCTCTCGCAAAGGAACGGAGCCATAAGATCCGGCTCCCTTCATAGAGCCATAATTCCCATCACTACCTTTAACCCAGTTTATCAGTCTGTATTTGATTTCAAATTAATAAATAATTATTAGAAGATATTACTGTGGATGATTATTCAGATGTACAATAAAATAAAAATGGGTTATATTCAACATTATATTGCAGTCACAGTAACCGAATTTCAGTGTTTCAGGAAAAACTAAAACAGCATTACGTGTTGTCTTGAGAGAGGGTGCATATGGTTAATATGGATGTTGCATTTGCATTGCAAGGCTTTTCACTAAGGCAAAAACAGTTAGCATGGAGTTGGACTTCAATTTTTTTTTTTAAAGGGCCCATGTCATGGCCATTTCTACATTACATTACATTTCATTTAGCTGACACTTTTATCCAAAGCGACTTACAATTACCAATTACAGGGACATTCTCCCTGGAGTAACTAAGGACTAAGTGCCTTACTCAAGGGCACACTAGTGGTGGTGTTCCTGGCGGGATTTGAACTCACAACTTTCCGATCTTCAGCCCACCTCACTATCCATTAGACCACCACTATCCCTACTATTCTACTGATCATAATTCCATTGTTGAGGTCTACTAGAATAGATTTACATTGTGCAATTTTCCAAACTAACATTGGTTTCTCATACAGCATCTCTGTATAGTATGTGTATTCACCAGGTATTCACTCTGTCCTAAACGGCTTGTTGGAGCTCCTGCCCCCCCCTCCCTGTGAGCCCAGTGTGCTCTGATTGGTCAGGACGTTGAGGCTCGTTGCTGCGATCTGCTGCGAGGAGCGGACAGGCCTCCGGGTTGGCGATACAGCGAGAACAAGCGAAACTCATCCTGAGCACACACAAACACTCACAGCCGAAGTAAAAACAATAAGTGTGGCTTGATATTGAGTAAGAAAAAGGTTGATAACTATGAAGGTAGATATGGTGCAAAATGCGAGAGCGTGTAAAACCTGATGTGAGCACTTGCAGAAAAAAAATATCCACGTATCTGTGAACCAAATTTGAAGTCACAGAAGAAAAAAAAAGTTTTGTAGCTTGTAGAAAAAAAATGAACTTAGTGATGAAATGTTCACTTGCAGAAAAATACATATTTTAAAATATATTTTCCATTACAACTGCAACTTGGTTATTACAACCTCTCAAATCAGTCAAACTTCACGAATCTGCTCTGTGGCAGTATAAATCGACGAATCTGCGGCCTTGACTTTTGCTACACTTCTTGCGATGAATGTGTCGCAAAAGTAATTTTCACCTGTAGATGTGGGGGAGGGAGGGGGGTTGGAGCGAAGGGGCGGAGCTATCAGAACGACGAGGCTCTCGGGTCAGTCACACACAAGTGACTACTGTTGCTCCCGTTCTAGCTCCGTGCTTCGCTCACAACAACAACAATGCGTCGGGTCGATGATCGTGTTACTTTTAATCATACGAAGCCAGATTAAATTAAATAACTACTTCTCCAACCTTGTACTTTTCTCCAGAGTGCCGTGGTTTATTGTTTATTAATGTGTTACAGCGGCATTTACCGACTGCTGCAGTGCTGCTCGTCCACCTGGAGTTTATTCTCCCGTTAACTCACAGCAGCGGCCGCTTTAAAGTATTCACTGTCTGACTGTCACACAAGCAGCTGATAAATGTCCCTAATTCCCCATAAGTGAATGTGTGTCAGTCTGAATTGACGCTGTTTGGCATCACAACGCTGTTACGAAGGTTTCTCTGGTATAAAATGGGTGATGTTAGCATAGCAACCGAAGCTAAACTGACTATATTGACTAGGCTACTTGTAACTTGTTGCTATAACTTGTGGCATAGGCCTAAGCCGTTTTCTAAAGGCACATTTTACCGGCGTATTTTTCATTATGATTCTACTTGTGATAGTCGGACATGACAACCTGTGTAGCCCATGTATTGATTCCATCTGATAGCTGCTAATACAAAACAAATCATCTGCCCCCTCCACAATGATCAATAACAGCGAACGGATGGTCAAATAAACAGAATCACACGAAGCCTGGTTACTGGTTAGTGTTGCCTGACTTTATAAAGTGTGTTTATTTTACAAATGCGTTCTAGTCACTTTGCTCAGCGCTACTGCTTGTTTAAACTTTTATTTGCCGTAGGCTACTCTCCATAAACTGTTAGTTCAGGTCAATCTCACCCCCTCCAACGTAAGCGTGACGTATGCGGTTCTTGCCTCAAGACCGACACTTTTTCCGAGCTTGGTAAGAACCGGTTTTCGGGGAAAAGAGCCGTCTCCGCTGCGGCGTGAACAGGAAAAACCGGTGCTTATCAGGCTCAAGCTCCGAACCGGCCCTGGAACGGCGTTAGTGTGAAAGGGGCAACATGCAGGGCCCCGCAGTCATCCGGTTCGACCTGACATGGCTGTGTGACTGACCCGAGCTTGCGCCCCCTCGTTCTGATAGCTCCGCCCCTTCGCTCCAACCCCCCTCCCTCCCCCCACATCTACAGGTGAAAATTACTTTAGCGACACATTCATCGCAAGAAGTGTAGCAAAAGTCAAGGCGGCAGATTCGTCGATTTATACTGCCACAGAGCAGATTCGTGAAGTTGTAATGACTGATTTGAGAGGTTGTAATAACCAAGTTGCAGTTGTAATGGAAAATATATTTAAAAATATATATTTTTCTGCAAGTGAACATTTCATCACTAAATTCATTTTTTTTCTACAAGCTACAACACTTTTTTTCTTCTGTGACTTCAAATTTGGTTCACAGATACGTGGATATTTTATACAAGTGTAAATGTATGCACACAAGCTCAGATTTCTTTTCTGCAAGTGCTCACATCAGGTTTTAAATTAAGTTACATTGCTCATGTATGTGTAAACCATAACAGCCTGTCAGTGGGTACAGGGAGGACTGTTAATAACCAAATGAACCTTAATATCCTGAAAATGGGCTTGCTTGTTTTTATTAGTAAATGTAATTTAAGATGTACTTAAAGTATCTGTTTTCATACATTAAAATGTTTTGGACAGTACATAACATAAACCTTGAAAACTGAGCTTTAACAGTTCTGACAGTGTGACCCAGGGAAATCATCGCATTTTAAAATGAACGTCTTAGAGGCTTAATTGGTTTACATTTAAATATATTCCAAACTATTTACATTAAATCTGTTTGTGATAACAGTCCTCATATTAGCATTGCACTTGCACTAGTCACGAAATGCACATACAGACAAAACACATGTGAGTGGTAGAGCAAAAAGAAAGTACAGGAAGTTCAAAGGTTTCTACGTTTTAATTGAGATGCACATAAGTAATCACAAAAGTCCAAAAACCAATGAAAGGAGAATGAAAACAAGTCAGCAGGAGATAATGGAGTACAGCAGTCCTTAGCACAGCCCCCCCCAAACCTGTCCAGCGTCACTGAGCAATCAGACACTGGTACAAGGATTGGGAGTGACCAGACCAAGAGAGGCAGCAGTCTGGAAACAGTTGGTTTCTCTAATGGCAAAGATCTTGTTTTGGAAAAACTAGAAAGACTAGAAAAGCACCCGGAAAACGACCCCCCCTCCACCATGCCCTCCTGTGATGTTATCCAAAGGGGGAAATCATGTGGTCAGCCCTGTGATTCACATCAGTCCAGACTTCAGTGGGGGTCCTGGTTCTGTTGTAGTCACCAGCCTTCATTCAAATCAGGTCAAATCAGGTATGATTCTGTAGTGTTCTGTTGCCCTGCTGACAGACAAACAAACAAACAATTGTACGTCACTTTGGATAAAAGCATCAGCTAAATGCAATGTAACAAACAAACTGAAACAATAACCAAATCATCAGCTCTTTAGCAGAGACAGAAATAGTAATACAGATGCATCCATGCACTACGCTCAGAACAGAGGACGCTGACATTCAAAAAACCTCTTAGATATTAGGAACTCACAATTGGTTAAATGTATTTAATAGTTTTAGTTACTTTACAGATCTGGATGAATGATGTGAAATATAATCAAGTCTTAAATCAGACTTTAGTTCCACCTGGAGTAAATCCACAAGCTACCCTGCAGTATACAAAGTCATTCAAACTAGCTGCACCTTTACCAGCTTTGAGAACACTTTAATGATCAATCATTATAAAACATATCATATATATTATTCTGAAATGGACCAATCTGCACAACGACTACTTTTACTGTCGCTACTTTAACTATATTTTGATGATAATACTTTTCTACTTTTACTTGAGTAACATTTTGAATGCAGGACTTTGACTGTAACAGAGTATTCCTACACTCAGGTACTTCTACTTTTACTCAAGAACAAGATCTGAGTACTTGTCCCACCTCTGCCAATTGAATACAAACACAATATAAACACAAAAGAAAACATGAGATATAAGCAGCTGCACACTGCGATGTAAACTCACCTCCTCCAGCATGTCCCGCTCACATGTCTCTCTCTGATCATGTCTCTGCTCCGTCCTCCGTCCTCTGTCCTCTGATCCTGCTCTCCTCCTCTCCTCTTTCTATCCTCTGAGCTGTCCGACCCCTCCTCATGCTCGGCCCCCCAAAAATCTCTGTTCATCTGGGGCCAATTGGGAGCCAGGCAGCAGGGTGAGGCACTTCCTCTGTGACAGGAAACTAACAACAAACACCCAGAAACAACCAGAGGAGGGGGGGGGGGGGTTAATGAGAGAGAGATAAAGAGACACAGATGTTTAAACAGTTCTCAACAGAGCTCTAGGGGTCAGGAAAAGGTGAATGATAAATGAATATTGTTTTTATTTATAAAATAAAAGTTATTCACTTGATGTCTATTGTCAGATTTGGCTGACCATCATTTGGTTCTTCAGTCAGTCGGTTTAGAGCAACTCAAATCTCAATCATGTGGCTTGCTTCAGGATTCTTCCCTAACTAAACTGAGAGTCTGTTCATCTCACAAATCAGACAGAGACTCCCTGCCGTCTCTGCATCAAAGTATAACTTCATTCTTTTTCTGTCTTAAAGCAACATTATGGACCTCCAAAGATTAGCTTCAAAGCATTTTGAGTGTGCCCTGACTGCAGTGGTGGCATTTTAACTAAGTACATTTACTCAAAGTCCAAAGTAGCAGAACATAGAGATACTCAAGTGAAGTACAATGTTGGGTACTAATACTTGTACTTCACTTGAGTATTTCTATTTTCTGCTACTTTGTAGTTTCTACTCCACTACAATTCAGAGGTAAATATTGTACTTTTACTCCACTACTTTTATTTGACACTTGTACTTTACATGGTAACATGTTGTGGTTTAGTATATGTACTGCTATTTTTTTCAGTACTATCTCAAATGTGCTCCATATTGACAAATAACAACATTAAAAACAACGTACATTTTCTAACGATAAAAACATTAGAAAATACCTTCAACACTTTTAAAGAGCCATTCTGCAAAATTAGTATTTCTACTTTTGTCAGGATTCGTGGAAAAGGTAGGACCCAAATGCAGAATAAAAAAGACAAGAAAAGGTCAAGGAACAAAAGGCGAGCTTTATTAAAAAAAATAAAACCCATGACAAGACAGACAAAACTAAAATCATGACATAAAACTAAGATCGTGACAACTTTGTTACTTGAGTACATTTAGATGTACTTTTACTTAAGTAACGAAAAACTCAGGACTTCAAAAACGTGTAATGAAGTATGCTTAAATGTGGTATTAGTACTTTTACTAGAGTATCTGAGTACTTTTTCCACCACTGCCTGTCTAGCAGAGTGGTGTGTCTGTTCTGTGAGCGCTGACCATAGAGAGACAGATACTTTATTCATCCCGATTTGGGAAATGTTTGTGTTACAGGACCAGTGTTTGCAACATTAAAATACAAATACTTAAAAAGTGGAATAGAGTTAACAATTAAAATGAAAATGAAAAATAGGTAAAAAATACTGCAGCAGCAGGAATATAGGCTTATAAAGGTATTCTGATTCTGATCTGATTATACTACAGGACCTCTGTCTGCTCTGCGTCTGTGATTTATATGTTTCATTTATTGGATGCTAGGAGAGGAAATTGAAAACTAAGAAGAACTCACTCCCACAACCCATCAGAGACTGCACTTACCCCCCCCCCCCCACCTTCAAACAACTTACAAAAACTCACCTCTTCAATCTGGCTTTTAAGAGTTTGTGAACATATAACCGTAATGTTAAGCATAAAGATGAACAGATGAAGAATCAGGTATATTGTTAAACAGCAGGATGAAGTTAGTGTGGAGTGACAAGCAGACAGCAAGCTTTTCAAATGAATACATGAAAGAAACAGCAATGCTAGTTTTTTTTTATCATGTTTCAATTTCCAAGATGTGCTTTATGAAGTTTCGTCGACATTTCTGATGCATAAAAAAGGAAGTAACTTCCCAGGAAGTAAATATTTGTTTCTGTTAAAGAAATTAGGGTAACTCACGGACTGGGAGCAGAAGCTCAGTCCTCGAAGACTTAGGAACCGGAGTGTTGCCGGTTCAAGTCCACAGACCCCCACTCTGTACTAGCACTGTATGGAAATACTAGAATAGTTAATAAATTCAGTTTTTAGTCAGTTCATTTCTCACTTGTTTCCACAGTTTACCGTTTGATTCTGATATTTTAAATGTACTGTAGATGTTGTGTGCCCAGATGTATTTCTTATTTCCCTGCTGGTTTGATGTTTATTATTTATTGATTCTATGGAATGCGGTTTTGTGTGTCATTATGTTTTTAGAACTTATTATAGAATAATAATAAAAAACAAAAAGAAAGAAACACATACATTGATTTGTGTTGAAGACTGAAAGAAGACAGGCGTGGACAGGATGGAGATGATGGGGTCTGGGGGAGGGCTGATGGAGGGATAGGAGCGGGCTCAAAGGGGGCAGATAAGAGAGTTGCTGCTGATAGCTGCTGGGCGGGGGTCTTTGGGGGATTCATGTTTATAAAGGAGGTCCAGCCCCACTTATTATCTGCTACAGCATCCTTCAGCAGACCCAGCACATCATTAACTCCAGACTGTACTCACTGTCACCATAGAAACAAACATCCTGAAACCTTCTGGCCTTATATGGTCTGGTCCTTCATGAGGATGTGGCTCTTCCCTGAATATGCTGATAACATTTGGCTTGTTCATGTTCATGTTTAGGAAAACTTCCATCCTGAGAGAAACTCACACAGAAATATTTCAAAGTTCATTCCAACTATACTGATGAGCCAAACATTCAATGCTAAAGACAATCTGGCCTTTCTGGCAGGTGCATTGAATGGGTGCAGTCTTGACGTTATGTAAAACAGAGATGTGATAGGTGGGTCGCGAATGGACGCGATGAAGGGGTTTATTTTTTTTAAATAAATGTTTTGGACCTCAGGCCGGAATTGAACCTGGTTCCTTGCGGGCGTCAGTGGACTGTTCCAGCCGGAGACTCGCAACGGCCGTGGACTTTCACAGCGCCGGAGCCGCCGGAGCCTCGCAACGGCGGGTGTTTGCGGCGGCGCTGTGAAAGTCCACGGCCCACCTATGCCAGAGCCAGCGGCCCACCGAAGGCAGCAGCCCACGAACGGCAGCGGCCCACCGGGAAAAGTCCCGAATCTCCCGATGGCCAATTCGAGCCTGCTCACACACACACACAACGGAAACCAAAATCATTTACAGACATATGTAAAAATCTCTCATGCACACATGTGAAACACACACACACACACACACACACACACACACACACACACACACACACACACACACACACACACACACACACACACACACACACACACACACACACACACACACACCAACACAGTCTCACTCCCTGAACGTCCAATAGCGACGCTTGGTCAGGGTCCATGGCGTCCAGTTGTGACGCGCCGAGTCTCCTTCAGCTTCATAAACGGACGCAAAGAGCTTTCAACTGATTGCAATGTATTCCCATCGGCGGCGGTATTTGACGCTCATGGAAGCACCGCATCGGTCCATGTCGGCGGCATTTAAAGGCAATGTGAGCGTCCATTCCCATTGGATAACGGAGGATTTTACACCCGGAAGTAAGTATTCTCCTTACTGTCGATTGATTTTACAGTGATATCTGCACTACTCATCAACTCAAAAACACCAGATTATCCTTGTTAATTACACAACATTGATTGGTTTAAATTGTGTACAATGCTTTTGTATTTTTCCCCTTTGATTCGGAGAAACAAATATTTTTTCGGAGTTTAGGATGGCAGAAGACACTACACTACCCAGAATCCTCAGCTATCGTTTGGGACTACACCATGTGCTTTGCTCGACAAACCCCGTGATTAGTCTTCAAGCTCTGTGATTGGATGTTGGAGTGGCAGTGCGCGAAGTTTACACGGAGCGTCAAACAGCACTTTGAAATGGAACGAAACCCATCGACGGCACACTGTTCAAAACAGGAATCGAACGTGTCCTACCCCCCCCCCCCCCCCCCCCCCTTAGTTCACAGGCTCCTCCAACAGTGCAACACAATAAAACAGATACACAGAAAAAATTGTGCAAGTAAATACAAAAATAAAAATAGTAAAATAGTAAAAAGTGAAATAGTGCAATAAGAGTCTATATACAAGTGATTGGAATATAATATATTAGATAAATAATGTCTAAGTAGCAGCCAGATGAATGTTATGGATGTTGTTTCAAAGTTCAGGTGTTTAATAGTCTTCTGGCCTGTGGGATGAAGCTGTCCCTGAGTCTGGTGGTTTTAGTCCAGATGCTGCGGTACCGCCTGCCAGACGGCAGCAGACAGAACAGTTTGTGGCTGGGGTGATGGGGGTCTTTTATAATCCTGAGGGCTTTCTTTAAGGTTAACCTGGTATTTTTACTCCACTACATTTATTTTAGTTACTTTACACATTTGGATTAATGATGTGAAATATAAACAACCCTTAAATCAGACTTTAGTTACACCTGAGTAAAATTCAGTGAAGGTGATTGTCAGGCGAGATATTTGATAGTTGGTGCTTGAGAAGACAAAAGATGTATCTGCAGATCCCTATAAAGCATATTCATTACTCGTTATTCTCTAATCGTTCATCAAAAACTGTATATAATGGCTATTTTGCACATCCCTTTCAAGATTTCAAGATTTTCAAAGGTTTATTGACATATCATAATATGATTTGTCATCATTGCATAACTACACCGTAGTTGTGTACAACTACGGTGTAGTTATGCAATGATAACAAACTTGGGTCATAGGTTCCTCAACAAGAGATCTATCAATATGTGTGTACCTCCACCATTAAACTGTCATATTCTGCACATTTCTTATTCTATCTACATACATCTTATAAGAGTATAATAAATATGTATAATATGGGTTAAAATAAGTGCTTCAACATAGTTAACATTGCAGGAAAGTTGATTGTCAAGTCCCAAAACAAACCATGCAATATATTAAACGTTAAGTACTTTGTCAGGCTTAATATTGATCAGATACCCCCAAAGCTTTTTCCTTACATGTATTTAAAAGAAGTCCTTAA